ATATATAGCGCGGTATGTTAGGGCTTTATATATATAGTGTCTTATATTATGGCGCTATACTTAACTTGGCAAACGGCCGTTAAGGTATAACGCTTTAAGCTTGGGCGTTATATATATTTTGTTCCCAATTTTTTTTTCACACATTTTGGTTCCATTTTGCCAAAGATACCTTTCAAATTCATAAAATTGCCATTGCTTTTGAGTGTTTAATCGTAGTTCTCAAAATTAAAACAAGAAGTATTATGTAGATAGTAATACTCGAGATTCATTGTCAAGATCAATAAATTAGTCCTTAATAACTTTGACTTATGAACTTAGCAGCTCAATTAATATTATATTTTGCATGTAGATACAAACTGTATACTTGTGTTGTCACGTATATAAGTTGTTTAACTGGTATGTAAGAAATAATTAAAAAAGTAACCTATTTTGTTAACTTGCAACTACTAGATGCAAAATTTCAATTATTTCTCAAAATTTTCTTATTTTAAGAAAAACAAATCGAGAAAAATCATCATTATGATGATGTTAAGATTTGAAAGAACCATAAAATTTGACCTATAAAAGTTTCAAGGGTGGAAACTAAGAATTTCGAGATTAAAGGCTCATTTATATTTTTGTTTAAAAAGGTAAAAGGTAAAAGAAAAAAGGCCTTACTCTTTTTTTCTTTTTACCAGAGGAATTATCATGTTTCACTTTTCTTTTTACCTTTCACTTTAAATGGAATACAAAAAAATCTCAATGATGGAGAGATAGAAAGTAGATTTACCAATTAGGTTAGGAAGAGACATAATTTTCAAAAATATCACTATCAATTGGTCCATTAAAGGGTTCCATTACAACCACTAACCAGCAATAACATTTACATCTTCCTAATCTCTTAAAAAGTTTTGAAAATAATTAAAACTTGACCCATATGATACATTAATGGGGAGAAAAGTGAAAAGTCGATTTTAGTCATAATCATTATGAATATTAAAAGATGATGTCCAATAACATTATTAATGTTTCTAAAATCTTCCCTCCACCATTCACGATTTGATTGAGATACAAAAGATAGAAAAAAGAGAGGGTAGGGGTGTTAATTAGGTCATAGAATTCGTTTTGAAAATTGACTACAAGTTAGAAAGTTCAATACAAGTTGGAATTATGGGTCCTTCTAGAATTAAATTATGCTAGGAAAAGAAGGACATACGTGGACTTATCCTCTAATTAGTAATTACTTTCTTTGACTAATTACGTTTAACAGGTTTAACAACTTAAATGATATATTATCAACCTCTATATATGATTTTTTCTAATAGATTTCTTTTACTGGTATAAACCACTAATCTCGAATATGATTTCCTAGTCTTTTAGCATGGTGAAAATAATCTGTATGATGTGCTATCTACCCAACTAATGTGGTGCGTTGATATGCTTAATTTCTCATAAGGGGAAATGTTGTATTAGTTTGTATTTGAATTGTCTTTACACAATTTCCCCACTAATGTTAAACAAATTAGTGATACAGCTGCCAATGAAGATTTTCTGACTAAAATATTAGTTGTTGATGACACTAATTGCTAAAAGTTGAGTCAGTACCCAAATAGTTTGACAAGTATATACTCTTTAAGTTATTCGAAATCATTTAAAAAGTGAGATTATTAACTTGAAAAATAAGATTGATTACCTTCTACAGCAAATTTAAACTTGTACCACAATCTTTGCGTGTTAACTTTCAATTGTTATTCAATCACTAGCTACAAATGAAGCCATTTTGTCAAAATCAAAGTACCAACCAGGTCTCCAGAAGCTGAGGAAATACTTTTGATCTTTTTTAACCTTCTTTTAAACCAAATATCTTTAAAACACTCATTTACCACAAATTCCCTCCATTCAACTGCAGATTTAAATTTTAGGTCTTAAAGATTGCATGCCCGCCTGATCTGGACTTGATGGTTGAAACCTGTTTGCAGTCGCACATTTCGTACAAAATTAAGAAGCGTGGACATCATTAAAGTAACTTTATTCACTCCTTTTAAAGCTGGAAAAATTTTTGTTTCCAATTTTAACCTTGAATATTTTAGTGGCTTAGAAAATCGTTCACTACACACATGTAAATTAGAAGGCGGCCCCCTATTTCATACTCGGTTTTTGCCAAAAAACTGAAATAAACATTACATTCTCGCCACGCAAAAAATTTATTAGAACAAAATTGGGTGCAAGTGCTTACTGCTGTATAGGGTGTAAAATATAAAGTATAAGAATAGAGGCATTATCAGATCTTACATTCTGTAACTCAAAAGATTTGAAACTGCAATACAGTATAGTCATCTCGCCACAAAGATTTTCCAACACAAACTTGATCTTCAATTTGCTTAGTCTCTTTCCAAATGACACTTTTCCAACCCATAATATACAAAGAAAAAATGGGGAAAAAAAAAATTCTCTCACATCAAGTGTCTACATAGCAGCTACATTTCCAGTTAATGTACAGTGCCCCAAGTAAAGGGGCAGCAGATTAAGAATTAAAAACTCACGCGCGATGTTTAGAAGAGCTCCTGAGACAAGTAACTTCTGCTTGTCACGGAAAAATGCATCCGGTAAAGGAGGTGTGGTAGATTCATCACTGCCTTGGGAGAGTTTGGCCATTTTAAGAAGTTGGTTGTCTAAATCATGAGAACCGGTAGCTTCTGGAGCCAAGGGGGGATCTGCACTTTCTGCGGTAGAAGGAGCTTCCGAGTCCCTTTTATCACTTTCTGATGAATCATCAGCATCTTCTCTTCCATTGTTTGGCTCATTGGAACTTCCACCACTGCCATCCTTCGGAACACTAGAGATCACATCAGGTTGAGCTTCAACACCAACACGTCTCAGGTGTAGCTGTTGAATAGAAAATACAACCAAGTACTTAAATTGATAGACCTAAATACTTAAATTCTAAACCGAAAAAAGAAGAAAGAAACATGATGCTCAGATGAACAAGTGACAAGAAGTAGTTTATACCTGAAGATGAAGATTCACTTCATCAGGCCTTGAAAGAAATGGAAAATCACCACCACTCTTCAAGTATGCCTGTCTCGCGCCAGGGTACCTTTCGACCACTTGATCTTTGAGAGATTGAGGGGTTGCACAATAGTCATTTGTCTTCACACAGCAGAAATTCCGATGCAACAGGAATCCATCAGATGCTTTCTACTACTGACACTAGTAAGAAAGAAACTACCAACATTGCAAAAGGGCAATAATATCAATCAATCAACTACGCCTCAATCACAAACTAGTTGGAGTTGGTAATATGAATCCTCTACATCCTGCTCTATTCGAACCCATTTCATTCCAATACTAAATAATTTTGTTTTCTAAGAAAAGCTAGAGGATTTCTAGGAAGGTCATGAGCTACATTAGTATGGTGACATCTTTTTTTCGGAGGAAACATATCAATCAATCAATCAATTAATTACAGCTCAATTCCAACTCACAAGCGCTCTCATACATGAATTCTCTATATCCATTCCACTCAATTCAGGTCCATTTCCCTTGGGGTTAGGAGTTTCTCTCACTCTCACACTTATCCATACACGATAACTAGTATAATCCCTCCAGTTAACTTTTACACGCAAAAGTACTCGGAAAAGTGGTAATCAGCTTGTTGATTCTAAGTAATGGTAAATGCTGAAATTATGTGGTAAGGTCTTGGATCAAACATTCCTATCCCACTAGACGAGGAAATAGTAAGGTGGTCCTGTCCTTTCTACAGGGAGAAATGTCAACTAGCAAGAAAAGATTAAAAGCAATAGTGTATGGGGAATTCCTTGAAGTCTAGCAAGTAGTTGGTTCCTAATTTTGATGACTAGTGCAAAAGGTAAAAGACCAAGAACTTACACCAAGAGCTACAGACTATACCTACTCTAGGTTAAAGTTTATACTCATGCAGTCTGTTTCCAAGCAAAAAATGATGCTCATGGTTACTATGACTTTTGGAATAAGCACATCTCAGGGAAAGAAAAGATTCATGCGGGATCATGAGAGCAACAGAATGCAGGAGTGTCCTGTTAACTTGAATGATTGATGTCCTAAAATTCCAAAGAGGAAAAGATGTAAACAAACACTTGATGTGCCAACAGCATCATGTATTAAAAATATCTTTATGCCACCTCATAGTACCAAAAAATGAGAATGTTGGGGGCATGTTGACTAAAGCATATACATTAATTCAACAAACATATAGCTTTGCAGATTATAGACATACATCCATTATAGTGATGGAAGAATCTGGAAGAAGAAGGGGTCCAACTGATGCAGCATCAGCTGTCAATGTCAATCTCGATGCCAAGTCGTCTCTTGAGAGTGTCTCAACCTGCATCAAGATTTTTATGAGTTCACGGAAAAAAATGAGTCAACTTTTCTATAAGCAAATAGTTGTGGTATCAAGAAAGAACAAAAATCACGGAGAATATGTGATGGTCTAGTTAATTATTTGAACAACTGAAAGAAAATGGACAATTAGGGTTAACAAAATTAGAGGACTATCTAAGACCAACCACTTTGACAGGTTACAGAATGAAGCATACAACAAGAAGAAGGTATCAACAACAACAGGTTTATTACGGAGCAGCTCAATATCTTCATGTCGATCTATTATATGCCTCTGCATCTAGTATTGGGTAGAACTCATAATTCCTAGCTCTACCATATCTTTTGTTTCATTTCTTCTGGAACAATCATAACGAATTTTTTGATCAATGATCTACTAGCAGAAATTCAATGTGTAATCTCAGCATTCAATGTGTAATCCTGAATAATCTCATTGTTCAATTATTCAACTAGTTCATTTTACCAAGTTAAATGTTAGCCGAATTAGTCAACATTTATCGAAGATATATGAGTAGCACTTTAAGATATTATCATCAAGTGTCTCACGGTGCAATAGTAGCATATTAAAACATCTCATGTTCTACATTTTGGGCAGCTTGAAGCTAAAAATCCAGATTCCAGAGAAACAGCGAAAGCAAGAATGCTATGAACCAGATTAACTTAAAACGTAGCGAAAATGACACCAATCTGACAGGAGGTAAAAGATAATCTGCATTCAATTTTATCCGATTGACATTCTGGACTTAAAAAATGAGGGACGAAAAAGTTTTGGGTAAAAGAGAAGGTTAAGTATGTTAGAACTGTCTCAAAATTGTTTAACACGAGTCTAGAGCTTCTTTTGATAATGTTTGAAAAAAGAGAGGAGAAAATGGTGCAACAATGAATACTATACACCTGCAAAGAACAGAACATGCATAAACAGTCACTACACTTAGTTTTGGAAAAAAGGCCAACTCTGAAGCAGCAAAAGAAATATGCTGCGCCAAGTTCAATAGACTGCTAATGGCTACTTTTTCAATACAGGAAATTTCCAAAGAATGTGTGCTAAGAGTGACCCAAAATGACTGTAATATAACAAAAAGCTGAACTTAAACATTACCTGGGAAACAACAAAATCTACAGAGTCTGCAATAAAGGGTTCCTGGGGACTATCACGAATTCCAGATAGCACATGCCGCTTCAGTATAAAAGAAGGAGCCCAACCAACACTGCCAACAATAGAAGAAAAATACCTTTTAGAATATGACAAACTATGTAGTTAAATCATAAAAACATCGAGATGCAAGAACAACGATATGGTACACATACACAAAGATATTAGATCACCTAGAGCTTAGTTAAATAGATGCAGAAGATGTAAAGTATTGATGCTAATCAGTCATATTTAACCTAAAACAGCAATTTAGCAGCTCTTACGATATGCAAAAGCAATACAAAGAAAACTTACATGGGAGCCCATGGCATTGCAGCTGAGAAACTAGTGGTCTCCACAAATGTATTTGAAAGTACCAAGGACCTAACACGCCGGGGGCGATGCTGAGCAAAAAGTTGTGCTAAGAATCCCCCAAGGGCTGTTCCATAGAGATGAATCTGTCATGAAAAAAGTTTAATACATCAGTTACACCCTTTATCATGAACAAACCTTATCTCTCTTTTTATTCTGAACATTCAAAATGCATGATTTAACAATATAATCAAACCACTATCAAACAAGTGACAGGTCACGAAAACTTATAGATGTATCTTTATATGCACTTGTTTGTATACTCTATCTAAATACACACACAAATAAATAAAATTAACAAGTTGCATCTTGCTAATTCTAAGTTTCTTATCTCCTGGATAAATAAGACAGGTCAGATTGCACACATTACAAGTTCAGGCTTAAGCTGTAGCCATAAAGTAAGCTACTGAGATGAAAAGAAAACATACATGATGAACATCAATAGCATCTAGAAACTTCTCAAATGCTTGAATCCATTCGTGGTTGTTCCATGCACGCGGAATATCAACAGAAATTACACGGTAACCCTGAGAAGGTAAAATCCAGAAAACGTTAGCTTCCTCCAATTGAACTTGGGAGTTGTCTTGTACAAAAACTTGCTAGGAGCTTTATCTTTTAAGATGCAAAGAGAACCTTTTATCCCCTGTGTTAGTCATCACTTGACATGATACTAGTCCATGTAGTAAAGAGGGAAAGCCAATGGCGTGAGCATTATCTATTTTCCAAGATTCAGTGCAGGAATGTGTTTTGGTGAAACTTAGTTTGACAAGGAAATCATTAAAGGAAGTGCAACTTCTGTTACAATTCATACATTGCAGTAGTTATCACTACTACTGGGCCATATTTCCCTATTCTTATCAAAGACTGTTTCCAAGTGACATGCTATGCAACAAAGAAGGTACTACAAAGGTGCTACAAAGTTCGTTAGATTATTGCTTCTACCTATAAAAGTTATAAAGCCCATAATTTATTGAAGAGAACTATGTTGCTAGACTTTTAATATTGAAGAAAGAGGTTTTAGGAATCACCGAATTGCTTGTTAGTTGTTACATTGCCTTTTATCTATCGACTAAAATCTGATCTCTATAAGATAAATGGAAAAAAATGCCACGGCAAAACTAACCAATATTTACATGTTCAGTTTTACTTTCCAGTTGCATTCTGCGGCACTTTGAGCTGCAATTTGGTTTCTAGATAAGATAATCTCTGATGACAGGTTGAGAAACTCCCTAAAGTAATCTCAAAGTGATCAATTTGGTCTCTGGATGTGATAATCTAATGACTGGTTAACAAACTCAATAACGTAATCTCAAATCCTCTCAAAAGAGG